AGGCTTCTCAGGTTGCCTGAAGCCATGGAACAAACCAGTTGTGGACTGGAAACTCTTTCCTCTGAGTCAGAATAAACCTTTTCTACTGGGATGTGACGATTGCCTGTAATCCCAACACTCAGAAAGTTGAGACAGGAATATCACATAGCCTGGGCTATATGATATATAAGATGCAGTCTCAAAAGAACCACCCCCAGGCCCCCCCCAAACCCAGGTCTCCCCCTACCCCAAACCTTTTCTCTTTAGGTTTATTACTTTTAGTGTTTTGTTACAGTAACTGAAAGCTGGCCCATACAGACATTAATTTCATTCATGAGGTCTCCGTTCTCATGGCCTAGTAACCTCCTCAAATTTGATAATTAAAATTTCTTGGATGTTGGTTTGAGACAATTTCATGTAGCTGGTCTTCAATGACTCTCTAAGTTTCCAAGGGTGGCCGTGAACTCCCGATCCTCTTGCCTCAGCTCTCCAGTGCTGGCTTTACACTGGGATGCACCATCACATCCGGCGGGCACTTAGAATTTCAGCACAGGAATTTGGGGAGGGCACATTCGGTCCCTAAGAGCCACATTTGGTAAGAACTGGAAAGTTAGGCCTTTGCTCAGAGATGGGAACCAGAGATTGAGCCCTGTTACCTCTCCCTCCCACACACCACATTTCTAGGGACAACCCCCTCCCCTGGGGCCTTTGAAGCCAAGCTAGAACTAATGGGGGTGGCTGAGGCAGCAGGAACAGCCAGAGAGCTATGGGCTCATGGCTAGGCTTCACCCCGACGTCTGTGTGGCTTTGGGTGCCTGTAGGCTCTGTTCTGACTGTCATGTGAGCTTGGACAGGGCACAGCCTTCTCTGGGCCTGCAGTCCATCCTCTGAAACCAAACAAGGAAAGCCATTTGTGCTGTTTTGTAGCCACCAACTGTCAACAGCCCCAGGAAATTATGTCAGTGGAGAGGTGAGGAGCAGGGTAGGAAGGCCCCAAGGATGGGCACAGGATATTTTGAGGCAGGCGGATCCCCCATGTCACTGCTAGACAATGGTCTAGGGAGAATCATTGTGTTGTGAGTGGAAAGTCCTTTCTTGACTCCATTGCTGACAATAATCCAACATAGTGGGTGGAGACCCTGGGGACAGGGTTTGGTCCAACAAGTGACTGGCTCATTGTTCCTGGCTTGGACAGAGCTGAAACCGGACACCCAGCTGAGCTGATGCAGAAACCAGGGCAAACCCAGAAAGCCCCTTCTGAGCAAAGGCAGGCTAGACAAAGTCAGTTTGGGGAAACTGAGGCCCAGAGAGCAGAAATATCTTGCCCAGGTCTCGCCAACACAGGCAGAAGGCTCCATGCTCCTTCCTCTGTGCCCAGGTCAGTCTGGCTAACCTGCCCTTCTCACCCACCCTGTGGCACCGTGTGGCACTGTGTGGCACCGTGGAGTTCCTTTACCTTTTGATGGGCTTGGCAATCCTTACAGAACAGCAGTTGTACCTTGAAGGTCTGGGCTTCTTCTGATGCCTTGACAAAATACCTTCAGACTTGTCCAGAGAGGACAATTGGGAAACCTCAGGTCACACAGCAAAAGCTGCCCATTTGTTACCTTCTGTGACAGCTCTTCCGTTCTGGATCTCAGAGAACTCGATTGAGTGACAGTGTGGTCATTATACTACCATGGTGGGCACAAGCAGCTGGGGATGGATAGCCATGCCTGCCTTGTGGGTGGGTGAAGTGCCCTCCTCTCCTTTCCCTGCTCACCTCCTGTTCTTCTCCATTTCTGTGGCCATTTAAGACCAGAGTCTGGAAGCACACACAGGCCTGTGCACCTAGAAACTACCCAATACCAGGCAGGGCGGAATTGAGGGGACATTTTCACTAGGATAGACCTTCATCCTTTCTTCCACAGCCTGTGGGGGTAGGAATGTTAGTCTCAGGGTTCTGAGCAAGAGGGCCCCAGGCACTTGCTGACCAGGCTCATCTCCATGTCCCCGGCAGTGTGTGTGGAGTGCTTTCTGTGTGGCAGATGCTGAACTAGGGGTGTGTGTGTGTGTGTGTGTGAGTGTGTGTGTGTGTGTGTGTCTGGGTGTGAGTGTGTCTGTGTGTGTGAGTGTGTCTATGTGTCTGTGAGTATGTCTCTGTGTGTGTGAGTTTGTCTGTGTGTGTGTGTGTGTGAGTTTGTCTGTGTGTGTGTGAGTATGTCTATGTGTCTGTGAGTATGTCTGTGTGTGTGAGTGTGTGTGTCTCTGTGTGTGTGAGTGTGTGTGTGTGTGTGTGTCTGGGTGTGAGTGTGTCTGTGTGTGTGAGTGTGTCTATGTGTCTGTGAGTATGTCTCTGTGTGTGTGAGTTTGTCTGTGTGTGTGTGTGTGTGAGTTTGTCTGTGTGTGTGTGAGTATGTCTATGTGTCTGTGAGTATGTCTGTGTGTGTGAGTGTGTGTGTCTCTGTGTGTGTGAGTGTGTCTGTGAGTGTGGTCTGTGTGAGTGAGTGTGTCTGTGAGTGTGTGTGTGAGTGTGTGTGTCTGTGAGTGTGTGTATGTCTGTGTGTCTGTGTGTGTACCCAGGTAAGAGCCTGTATGGGAGGTTGTATATCATTAAGATGCAAAAGTCAGGTGTTGTGAGATGGAGTAATGGGACTATGTTGGAAGAATAGATGTGACCTTCAAACCAAATGTGTGTGCTGCCTGTCCCCACCACACTGACTGGGCCTGAGTCAGAGGAAAGAGCACTGATACATACTCCTGCCCTGTGGCAGTATGGGATACTAGAGGATCACTGGGACCTCTGGGGATCTGAACTCTTTCTTGACTCAGACACCCTTGGCTGTGTTACTTGCAGCCTGCCTGGACCATGCCCACACCCCACCCCCTCCTGATTCCTCTGCTCTTAAGTGGCACTGGTAATATCTATCTCACAGACTGGCTGTGAAGGATAAATAAGCCGTATGTGGGTCCTGTTTGGTGCCTGAGACACAGACCAGTACATGAATTCCAGACCCTATGACCCATTCTAAACAGACCAGCCCAAATCTACCAGGACGATTGTAGCGTAGGGCTGGCACGGTGGCCTGACACATGCCAAGACAGGAGCAACAAGGAATGATGGACATGCTGTCTAGGATCTTTTCTGATCTTGGAAGACCTAGGGATCCTCCCCTCCAGCCAGGAATGAGACTCTTGAGTGTAAGGGGCCAGGCCTGGTCACATAATCTTCCCTGAGAACAGCAGCTATGGAGACCAGTATGCATCTACCTTTTTTGTTCAGTTGGCCCCTTCTGGTTCCCCTGTGTTAAGTCCCTGGTCATAGCTCTCCGGCTCTGGGGGGGGGGGGCAGCGCAGGAGTGCAGGGCATCCATGAAGTCACTGATCCACACTGGAGGGGTGGGCATAGCAACAGAAGCAGCCCAAGCCCCTGGCTGATGCCCAAGAGCCACACTGACCTGCCCACTGACCTTGGACATGGCCCCTCCTCCATCTGGCCTTGAGTCTGCAGCTGGGCTGGACAACCCTTGGGCTCTTGTCTAGCAGCTGGTTAGCTCCTGTGCCCTTTTACAGTGGCCTTCAGGAGCCAGCAGCCCTAGGACGTGTTATCAGGGTGGGGAGTGGGCAGGGAGTCCCAGAGGGTGAAGAGAGATATTTTGAGGATAGGCAGGTCACCTCACGTCATTGCTGGACAATGGTCTTGGGTTGGTGGAAAATCTTGGTCTTACTTGGGCTGAAAATAGCACAAGACAGAAGGGTCAGGAATTTTACCAGCCAGGCAACTGGCCTGGATGCTGGGCTGCATGGCTAGATGTCCATACTAAGGGGACAGGCGGTCTGATTGGCTCCTGGATGTGGGACCACAGGCCTATCCCTGGTTCCCCTAGGGAGCACCACTACCAGTGGCTCCCACAGAACTAGGTGGTGAGAGGCCCTCCCCTAGGTCCTGTGTCCTCCAAAATCTGCATGCAGTGATTCAAAGAAAGCTTCCTGGGAACAAGACAGTGAAGTCTCTAGCCACATGGGTGCTGAGTTCTCTGGAGCAGCTATGGGGGAAGAATGGAGACTGGGGGGGACTCTTGTCCGTAGTGAAAACAGCCCTCTGCCCAACCACAGGTGAACATCACAAGCCTCCATGATGTGGCCTGTGCCTCCAGGTTTTGGCACAGCTCTCAGTTTATCTTTAGGGAGAGTCTGCCTGTAAATGGGGATGCCGCTTTGCTTGAGCAGTGTTAGAAAGACCCAGGACAGTCCATAAGTGGAAGCTACCAAAGCTAGAGGGACTCCGGGTACATTGCAGACTGTGGGAGGTGAGCATCTCATGCTATTCTGGGGCAGATGATGCAGAATAGCTATTTGGGTAGTGGCCTGTGTTGGCTCCTTGTCACTTGAGGGCACTCTGGAGGTAAGCTATATAAAAAGACTGTGTTTACAAAGCCAGCTACTTAGGGGGCTGAGGTGGATTCTTGGAGCCCAGGAATTCCCAGTCATTCCAGTCCGATCAGAATGCATTCAGTGCAACTGGGGATGCCTCACCTTTCATGGCAGGGAGGGGAGAGTGGAGATGTAGGAGGCAGACAAGACAGGATGGGGAGATGGTCCTTACAGGGACCCCCTGTCCTTGAGGTCAAGTGAGGGCTGTCACATGTGCCTCAAGCTCAGAGCTGGCCCCATCCACTGTCTTGCATTCTAAGGAACCCTCCCTGACCAGGGGTCACACAGTCCCAGCTGTATAGTATGGTACCCTGTATCAGTTGTTGGACAGGTGTGGCTCTGCTATAATCCCAGCACTTTGGAGATGTAGACAAGAGGGTAGGGAGTTCGAGGTCAGCTTTAACTACGTGACAAATTCCAGGACACATTTCTTTACCTGAAATCCTGTCTGACCTGCAACGCTGCCTCTCCACTTTCCACGAAAAAGAACCAGTCGTTAATTTTCAGGGATTTTTTTTTTTTTTAACAAAGAGGCTGCCATTGTGTTGAAGTTGAAATTTGTTCGGTGTTGGGATTACTTGCTCCATAACAAGTGGCAGTGCTATAAATAAATGGTTTGACATTTTTACCGACACATTGAAGTTATGTGAATCGGGGAACCCCAAGAACTAGAACCCTACTTGACTCTTCTCCATGCTCTCGGCATAGTACAATACCAAAGATAAGTGGCTTAAAAGCAGGGTTGACCTGGGTTTGAAGAGAGATCCTTGATGCGAGACTCCCGGGAGACAGTGGTCGGAAGGCAAGTGGCGGAGATAATAGGCCTTTGTGTAGGTCAGGCCCTGTTCTTTGACCATGCAGCAGCACAGCCTTTGATATAAATTATGATTTCCACCTGGCTTCCAGACCAGGGGAGCTTCCAGATGGATCCAACGTCAGTTCTCAGATGTTTGTCTTTTGGCCTGAGGAGGATCTTCCTCTGAGCCGAGTTGTTCCATCCCAGGCCACCATGGGAACTCAGCCCTGCTTACCTACAGGAGTCCTCCAGTACCTTTGATCCCACTCCTGGTCCTGCTGCGTCTTCTCTGGGCTTGATTCTCCCTTAGATTTAGGAGGCTGAACCTCAGCCTGCCTGAACCCCAACCTTGGCAGAAATGACAGCTGTCTGCATGGAGGTCAGATGTTACTGCCTTTCTTAACATATGATTTCCCAGCTCACACTTTCAAATGATTGGGGACTTTGGGACCACAGGAAGAGAATTGCTGATGATCTCTATTGGAGGACATCAGCCTACTGAACAGGCCTTGGTCCCCTGCAGCTTCCTCACATGAATTAGCACACGCCTGAGGGGCTCTGACCTATAGGTGAATGTCCTTAGTCTCGTTCCCAGCTGGTGTGGACTCTGTCCGCCTTGAGTCATCACTGCTGATTGACACGTCTTTCCTCACTGTGTCAGTTCTGTGAGACCTGTGCACACCCAGCCTGCGACGAGGCTGGGGGCTAGGGATAGGCTCTGTGGGTGGCTTGGCATCTCGGGCAAAACGGACCAGTCTCTGCCCTGCCAGGAAATAGAGCACAGGGTCAAGGCAACTGTTGGCGCTGGCCAATGGCCGGGTGATCTTGTATGCCATGTTGATTGCATTGAGGGTGTGGCAACTGAGGTCAAGTGATCGAAAGGAGTAGTAGAGGGTGCGGGTGACATGGAAAGGCAGGAAGCAGAGGGTAAAGACGGCCAGCACCAGGGCAATGGTTCGCACAGACTTGCGCTTGGCCCGAGGCAGGCCTGTAGTTCCATAAGCGGGTCTGAGCAGCCGCCGGGCCATGAGCACGTAACAGACCAGGATGACTGAAAAGGGCACAGCAAAGAGCAGACTCAGCATGACGGAGCTGTAGGCCACAAAATGGCTGAAGAGCTCTCTGGCAGAGGTGTCGTGACAGGTGATGCGGGTCCCCCGTGCACTGGTGGTGACGAAATAGAGCACAGGTGCCTGGCAAGCCAGCACCAGAACCCACACCACAGCAGCCACTCGGCGGGCATAGCGGGCCCGACCCCAGCGCAGGGAGTGCAGAGGGCGCAAGACACCCAGGCACCGGTGCACGCTGATGCAGGTGAGGAAGAGGATGCTGCAGTAGAGGTTGGTGTAGAAGAGGAAACGCACCAGCTTGCAGAGCACGGTGCTGAATGGCCAGTGGTCACCCCGGGCATAGTAGTAAACCAGCAGCGGCAGGGAGGCTGCATAGAGAGAGTCAGAAACCGCCAAGTGAAACATGTACGTGGTGGAGGCATTCCAGGTCTTGAGGCGGCACAGGAAGATGTAGAGAGCCACGACGTTCAGGCACAACCCGAGCACGCACACCACGCCATATGACACGGGCAGCAGCACGTACTTGAAGTCCTCATTGAAGCGGCACTTATAGCCAAGTTCATCCCCCTCCCATGTGCCATTAATGGTGCTATTCCAGGGGTCCAGGTCTGCTGCCATTGCCCTGCGTGAAAGCCAGGTGTGGAGAGGAAGCCATCAGGACTGGGGCTCAAAGGGATCCACCCCCTTGTTAAGATTTGCCTAGGGCAAGACACATAGCTTGGTAAAAGAACACTTGCTTAGCATGCAGGAGGCCCTGGGTTCATCCCAGTAAAACACATTCTAAAGATTTGCCTAAGCCAAGTGTGGTGGCTCACTCCTGTAATCCTAACACTTGGGAGGCAGAGGTAGGAGAATTGTGAGTTCAAGACCAGCTTGGACAGCATAGTCAATCAGTTATCGGCCTGGACTGACCCTGTCTCAAAACAAACAAAATAACAACAGAAAGATCATCTACCAAAAAAAAAAAAAAAAAAAAAAAAAACCAAAAAAACAAAAACAAAAAACTTACTTGTTTACTAGAATCAAAACTTTTATTGTCATGTGATCTGCACCTCTCCAGGACCCAGATTCATGAAAACCAGCATCACATAATTATGACTTCACAACAGGGTGAGCAAACGATAGTCCGAGGGCTACCTCCCTCTCATCAGCCTATTTTTGTAAGTGAAGCAGTACTGGAACACAGCCACGCCCATCTGTTGAGCTGAGTGGCCACATGGCCTTTAAAGTCTAAAATATTCACTCTAAAACCTGCTGACCCTTGCTCTAAACCCCTGGATAACAGCGTTCAAGATTGAGGACTCATAGGCTTGGAACTGAGATCTGGAGGTTTCCAGAGGTGTTGCAGGATATTTGATGACCTGTGTAAAGATGTCTCTGTTTTACCTCACCTGCCTCAGGTATCTTTTGATTTAATAAAGAGCTGAATGGCCAATAGCTAGGCAAGAGAGGATAGGTGGGTCTTCCCAGGAGAGAGAGGAACTCATGGGAAGAATCTGAGAGTGGGGGATTTGCCAGCTAGACATAGAGGAAGTTGGACATATAGCATGGAGGAGAGGTAATAAACCATGTGGCAGAACATAGATTAATATAAATGGGTTAATTTAAGTTTGAAGAGCTAGTTAGAAACAAGCCTAAGCTGAGGCCAAGTGTTCATACCTAATAAAAAGTCTCTGTGTCAGTATTTGGGAGTTGACAGTTCAAAGAAAGTCCAGCTATACAGAGGGGTATGATTTCAGATTATAGGAAGTGGCTTCAAGATTGGCCCTCTTCTGCACCCCAGTATCACTACCCACTGAGGCTCTCTGGCCTGGGGATCCAGCAGTCCTCACAGACCTCTAGCTTTTAAACTCATCCTCTATTCTCTGGGGGCTGGGGAATTGGTAAGGGTCTCCCTCTTCCATCATCTAGTTTCTTGTTCAACTTTCTGTTTTAGAGTTTTAATTTTGTGTGTGTGTGTGTGTGTGTGTGTGTGTGTGTGTAACTGTGCACCAAGAGTGTACCGGGTGCCTGCAGAGGTCAGAAGAGCCACTGGAACTAGAGCTGTGGGGCTGCTTTTTGGGTGCTGGGAATAGAACCCCAATCTTCTGCAAGAGCAATAAATGTGCTCCTAACCACTAAAATATCTGTCTAGCCCTGTGTTCAACATTTTTTTTTCTTCTGTTTTTGAAAACAGGGCTTCTCCATGTAACCCTGGCTGTACTGCTTAGGGTTAGGGTTACACTGATTTAGAACCCAGGGAGATCCTCCTGCCTCTGCCTACCCCCACCCCCATCCCAGTACTAGAATTAAAGGCATGCACTGCCACCACGCAGCCTCAACTTTTTTTTTAAGATGTTACTACCATATTCTGGCACTTTCAACATCTGTGTACAGTAATCCTGTTGTCCACCTGTGAGGGGACAACCGGATGGAGCAGTGACCTTCCTGAAGAGTCTGGGGAAGTGTGGTGTTGTTTCTGGAATGGGGAAGAGGCGAGTACCTTTTGTACAGCATGCCTTTCCATCCTCTTAGTGTCTTTTACTTTGTCCCTATGTTATTCACAGGGCCTGAGCAGCCAGGGGACAATGAATGCCTAGAGGGCTGGTGACCACCTTCTCTTCTCTCTCCATCCCATCCTGTGACCATTAAGAGCTCTTTCAGATTAGCATGAGGAGGCCCACATCTGCCACCCCAGGACTGGGGGGAGGCTGAGGCAGGAGTAGCAGAGGTTTGAAGCCAGCCTGGGCAGCATAGAAAGACAGTCTCCAGACAAATAGTGGGGGGCTAGTGAGATGACTCAGAGGGTAACAGCTCTTGCTGCCAAGACTGAGGTCAATCCCAGGACCCTCCACAGTAGGAGGAGAGATTCCCAGGTGGTCCTCTGACCTTTACTTGGTCGTTGTGCTCATATGCACAGCAGACATTCACAGACACACAAAATACATAAACAACTGATGTCACAAATATGACATATGTGGACAAAGAAGAAAATTATAACTCTGCCTGGGCTAGAGTAGAAAAGTTTTGCCCAAAGGGGCAAAGACTTGACATAATACAATGTGGCAAGTAGTGAATTATTTGCTTCCTTTTCCTGAAATAATAACTTTGCATGGATACAAAGAACAAGATTGTGTGCCTAAATATTATCTTATTGAACAGGTTGGAAATCAATTGAAAACTTATTTATTTATGTATATGAATTTTTTTGCCTGCATGTATGTACATGTAACATGTGTCTCTAACATCTGCAGAGATCAGAAGGTGAGTCAGAATCCCTGGAACTGGAGTTAGGGGTGGTTGTGAGCCATCATGTGGGTGTTGGGTCTTCTGCAAGAGTAGCAATAGCTTTTAACCGCTGAGTCTTTCTCCATCCCAGAAATATTAATTTAACAATTTATGTGTATGAGTTCTTGCCTGAATATACATGTACTGTCATGCAGCCTGAATAAGGCATCTAGTTCTCTGGAACTGGAGTTACAAATGGTTGTCAACCACCAAGTGGGAATCAAACCTGGGTCCTCTGCAAGAAAACTGTTAAGCTATCTCTCCAGCTCCAAGAAACAGTAATTTTTAACAACAATCGAATGCTTTTCAAACTATAGTATTCCTCTCTTGGAGGCACTTTAGGGAATTCTTTTCTCATTTTTCCATAATAAATCTACATTCTGTTTAAAGCAAAGCAAAACAAAATGACAATAACAACATAACTCTCAGCGGCAAGCAGGGAGCAGGTACCCTGGACTGAAGGTCCCAGAGAAGAAGCCCTCCTTCCTTTTGGGCGTCAGATCCCCCACCTTGAAGACCGGTACCCCTCAGGAGGAGCTGTCCTCGCTGAAGACAGTAGCTTCTAACCTAGCTCCTCTGTTACTCCTGTGCCCTCTCTATTCCTGCCCACCCCTGCTCTCCACTCAGAGGCAGCGTCAGGGCCCCTCCTTGCCTTCTGTCTAGTCAACACCATTATTTCGCTGCTGCTCCCCGCTGGTGGAATGTCTGACAGGGTGGAAAGTTCCTTGTCCCCAGAACCAGGGAGCAAGCTTCCCTTCCCACCTGTTTTAAGACATCCTGGCCTCTGTCTTCCAGGCCAGCTGAGAGTTCTATCACAATGGCCCCGGTCCAGACTGACCCTGCCCGCCTCTGCTTCCTTCCCTGGGCCAGCTCACTAACCTGTAACTCCCATCTGATAGTCCCCAGCTCTCTCACCTCAGCTCCATGGAGACTGCTGCGTCTGACTTGGTCACTGGCCCCCTCACATTGGCTGGCTCTGCTATGCCCATTTCTGGCTGGCGGTGTCCCAGGAACTCCCAGTTTAATGGAGAAGTGAGCCCTAGAGAGCCCTTCCAGGCTTCCTCACCTTCCTTCACGCTATACTGACTGTCCCAAAACCCTTTCCAGAACGATCCCTTAAAGGCTCATCCCACCCATTTCTCCAGGCTCTTTCTCGATGTCTCTTATCACTGAGATTTTCTTAGTCCACTAGGCCCTCAGGCCATGTCTCCAGCCTTAAGCTAATTTGTCTTTCTACTCCAACCCCAACACATTTCTTTGAAGGCTGCATCCATGTGAAGATTTTCCCTGTACCTATAGCCTAGCAAGAGGCCTAACCTGCAAGAAGTTGTTGCAAGAAAGAAAGGATGAATGAATGAATGAATGAGTAAGTGATGCACTTGAGGTTGTAGGAACCCAGAGGAGCTGAGTCCACAAGTCATGTGGCTCAACCCATTCAAGTCCATCTCCTGCCCCAGAGAAATCCTTAGACTACCTCTTTTGTTCAACACCAACAGGACCCAGAAGACCCTGCCAGGGAAACAGTCTGGGATTAGTCAGCAGGCTGAGGCAACCCCTGCTGGCTCTTTACCTGGCTCACTTCTGGCTCAGTCTAATCAGCTTGACATCCTGCAGCCCCCTCTGCTATCCTTCCTGTTCACTAGGGATCTGATTAGGTTTAAGCAGCTCTACAAGGCAGGGTTCAGCCCCTTGTAAATATCTACACGGAGGTTAAGCTATTTGTTTTGGTTATACCTGAAGGAATTGGAAAACTAGGCTTGATACTGAGGGCGTCTGGCTGCAGAGCCTGGGATAAAGGAGCATAGCAGGGTCCCTGCCTTGGATCCCGTGTAAGCAGAAGTCAATGCGCACACACAGAAAATGCCCAGCCTCCCGGTCAGTGGACCCATCTCACCCACCTGGACCCAATCAGCTCCTGCTCTTGGTGTGGTAAGGATGCTCAGTGCCTGCTCCAGTCCTTCACTCATAAATTCTCAGGCCTGGACCAGCTGCTGGGACTGAGGCAGGAAACAGGAAGAACAGGTTCCTGAGCCTGGGGCCCCCCCGCACCCAGCCTCCAGCATTTTTCAGGGCAAGCCGCTGCCTGGAGGGCTCCTGCAGACCAGAGATGAAGAAGCAAATGTGGGCTCAGAATCTGCCGGCCAGGCCATGTTCTCTATCTCTCTCTCCTCTCTCTCCCACAGATTGCCTCCTCTGCTTTAACTGTGGACTGAGGCCCCAAAGAAGCCAAGAGGAGACCCAGAGTGCTAGTCCTGGTCACAGTGCCCTCTGCTCGCCCACACACCCTGATAGCCCCTGCTAGCTCATATGTTCCAGGAATGGGCTGGGTTGTTCACAGCCTCCTCAGGCACCCCTTTCACAGGAAGGTGGCTTTGTGGAAGATCTCCCCTGGTATCTTCAGAGCTGAGCCAAGTCTCCAGTGTCCCTTCCCTTGGCCCTGGTTCTGCTCTTCAGTCACATAGCAGGAAACAACAGTCTCTTGGCTCAGTATATACCGCGCAGTACTGCCACCATACCTTTGCCCAGGATAGGTGTCTAACGGAGTCCCCTCCTCTTCATTCCCCACAGGTGAACTTCCCTCCTCGGGTGTTATAAATACACACACAACATACTTGAACACACACAAGTATACATGCACACAGACACCCAAAGCACACACTGTTATTCACATTCATATTGGCATGGTCTAGATGAGGCCTGGAACAGCCCCTGCAAGCTACCTGAGCTGAATCCCCAGCGACTGAGGAGGAAAGGCAAGGATAGAGCTGAGCTAGGAGCCCCTCATATACAACAGAAACAGGGGATTTTCTAGAGAGAGGATTGTTTGGGGGAAGGACCCCTCTGTATGGACATGTCACAGCACCTACCAGGAGCCTCCTGAATAATTTTTTTCTTTTGAGAAAGAGTGCTATGGATTTCAGGCTGATCTCAAACTCATAGCTGAGCATGAACTTTCTGATTCTTCTGCTCTTACCTCCCAAGTGATGTTATTATAGATGTGTACCACCACACCTTTTTTATGTGGTGCTGGGACTAGATAATACAGGGCTTCAAGCATGCGAGGCAAGTACTCTACCAACTGAGACACGTATACACACACACACACACACACACACACACACACACCCTTTTCCTTTGGTCCTGGGGACTGAATCCAGGGCCTAAGCATGCTAGGATAGTGCTCTACCACTGAGCTATGTTTCCAGTCCCTCAACCCCCAAATATCTTTTCCCATTTGCTTACTTTCTCAACAGTGTCGGAGTGGAGCCTCCAAGACGGAGGTGCAGTGTAAAGATAGGAGAGCAGGAGATGGGAGGCTGAAGATATAGGACCAAGAGAGGGCCTGGGAAGTACCTCCTGGCCATTGATCTGGTATTTCAGGCTGACACAGGCCAGAGTGTGGGTTGCTATCTGGTTGTCTGCTCAAAAGTCTGGTGGCAAGATGAAAGAGTTTCCCTTTTCACCCTGCCCTACCCAGGTACACTCCCCGTGGTCTGTCCTCAGGAAGGGCCTGACCAACCAGCAAAGGCAGAGCACATCACTTTCTCAAAGGGCCTCTACCATCCTCCTGGGTTCCATCTCTCAATACCCCACCCCATCTGATGCCCACCACTCACCAAATCCTACCAGTTCAACCAGTAGAGCTCTTTAGACGGGCTTGTATGCTCTTTGCACTGAAGTAGAGACACAGAGCTAAGCTTTCCCTCTGAACCACTCACCATTCTCTTTGCTGCAGTCCTCATCTCCCTCCACTCTTCCTGTGCATCCTTAACTCTTCAGTCACATGGCCTTCTCAATGCCCACCTTCTCCCTCATCCTTCTGTCTCAGTGCAGCTGAAGCCATCACATGGTTCCATCTCACTCAGTGGCAGTTTCCTTCATCTTCTACCATCAGTCTGGTGGTGAGCATTCTCTGCATCATTTTTACATTAGGTGGCTTCGTAAGCCTCTTCATATTTAATCTAGAGGTTCTGACAGACTAAAATAACCTCCGAGGGGCCACAAAACTAGCAAACAGCACAGAGCTCTGCTGTGCCCCTGGCTGCTGCCTCCTTCCTACCCACCCTGCAATGCCCAGCTCCCAACCCCAGGGATCTCCCTGGCCAAGCTCTGTCTCTTTGTTACATCTCCAGGAGAGCAGGTCCACCGACTCCCCTGGTTCCTTCTCACTAGTCCCAGGCTAGTAAGCCTAAAGTCAAGAGGAGGAAGCAGGGCTGTTCCTAGGCTGGCAGCGGACTCTTGGGTGGTTGGACAGCATTCCAGCTCCTCTGCTAGGGTGGTTCTGGAATGTGCCACCTGCTAGGCTGGTGGACCCTGTCCAGCTGGACAGGGGAGAGTGTCTTATCACACTCCAGAGCCCCCTGCTACCTACCTGCTTCTGTCAGGAAGAGATTTTGAGGGGGGAATGAGGACCTGGACTTAGAACAGCATCAAGAGGGAAGAGAGCCAGGCAGTGGTGGCGCACACCTTTAATCCCAGCAGTCGGGAGGCAGAGGCAGGCAGATCTCAAGGTGAGTTCAAGACCAGCCTGGTCTGCAGGGTGAGTGAGTTCCAGGACAGGCTCCAAAGCTACAGAGAAACCCTGTCTTGAACCCTCGCCACCCCCCAAAAAAGAGGGAAGAGAAAGCACAGGGTGGACAGGGAATCTGTTCTGCCCTTCCCAGCTGTTAGATGAACAGAGCTGTCAATTCCACAGCCCGCATTTCAATCTCCTCTTAACAGAACAGAACTTGCTTGCAAGCAAAAACTTCACACACACACATATCACAGAATAGCATGCAGGATTGAGACAGGAGGGATGGGGTACCCCAAAAGACGAAAGGGGCAAGTAGTCCTCTAGGAATTATGGGTGAGATTACAGTGGCAAGGGCATAGCTAGGCTGACCTAAGATCAGTGCCTCACACTCCCACATCCATCTTCAGGAGGAAGGAGGTCCAGAGCCCTCTGCTCTCTGCTGTCCCCAGGTTTGCTTCTGTGACTCTAAGATTACATTCTTCCTTAATCTTAAACACAGCCACTGTCAAGGTCGGGGAGGTACACCCAGAAACAGACAATGACAACTCAGGGTGATCAGGCCTGAAGGAAACCTAAGAGGCCCTGCTGGGAAAGGAGGTAGGGAGGTCCCTGCTGGGGAAGGTTTCCTGGAGAGGAGGCACCTGACTTGTGGTTAAAAGGATGAGTAGGCATCAGGTGGGTGGGAAGAAGAGTGAGCACAAATCTGGGCAAGGTGACCCGAGCTGCTAAGCATCCCGTGGTTTCAGTGTAGTACAGGGCAATCTAGGCAGTGCAGGATTAGGAGCCTAGGTCACTGCTGTCCCCATCCAAATGTCCTCCAAGGGGTTAGAGGATAGCAGTTCCCCCAGCTGTGCCCGGTATGTCACACCATGAACACTGAACACAGGCCTAGTCTGGGGACACAGCTTAGGGGTGACCTCTGATGGTTTCAGACGGTGCGTCTATGGTGTGAGACCTCCGTTCTAGAAGGCCCCTGTACTCTGCAGCACTTTCCCTAAAGCCCCCAAGATCTCAGCTGTGGGAACACTCACTGAGGCAGAGAGAGTACCCAGTGCGCCACAGAGCACAAAGCTGAGACTCCAAGGAGAAAGGGACTACCTAGCCAGGGCAGGACTCTGGCCCAGCTCAGCCAAGTGCAGAACCACAGGGTCCCAGGCTCCATCCCAGCCAAGCACAAGCCTTCACTGAGACCCAAGAAGCGAGAACCCTGGGTTGGAGCCTGCTATGCTGTACAGTCTGGGTCTAATCAGACCCAGTCCCTGAATGTGAGTTCTTTACTGGTCAAACTGGAAAGAGTCACAGGTCCATGGGGCAGCTCATGAAGGATGAATAAGACCACGGAGCCATGGGGGTGGGGACACATGGGAACAAGATGTGCACGGTCCTGAGTTGCAGGCACTATCTTCCCATCATAGCAAAAAGGGCTGAATTCTATCTAGGGTCCTACAACACTTCTCATCACAGGGCTTGCTCTGGGTCTCCAGCAGAGAGGCAGAGGTCATGATCCAAGCTGTGACCATGTTGAGTGAGGGGCAGGAAGCATCCAGTTGATGAGGTGGTAGAATCCAGGTACTCATCACAGGATGCATAGGAGGCTGTGAAACAGTTTCCTGGTCTCCTTGGAATATTCCTAGGTCAGAGGCTCTCCCAAGAGTGCCTGGATTCCATGCTGTTCTTTCAGTTCACCTGCCGAATGAAGCAAGTGCTGTGTCCGAAGTTCCATTTCCTGTGGCTCCAAAAACCCTTGGCTAAAATTTTCAGAACCCCAGGAGTTTGTGCTCAGAGCAACACAACTCTAAGAGTTACTCCTAAGAGCCACAATGCCCTAGCAAACACCTGCCAGTATCTCTACATGCATGGCTTCAGAGGATGAGCTCTGCCAGGCCCTCTGAGGAGTGCCCAGTCACACTTTGGGAAAAGACCCAGGGATGGATAGGTCATCTTGGGAGACCCAACCATATCCAAAGGGAACCCAGAGACTGGGAACTCGGGGGTCACAGAAACTGCGGCAACTTGTATCTTGGGTCAGGGGAAGCTGACCTTAATAGATAACCTGAGGTTGTCAAGCAGACAGACGAGTGGGGAGGAAGCCCAAGCCAAGACTCAGTGGGTGAGGGTACAGGTTGTTGAGGAAGTGCCAGGAGATCCCATGGGGCTGGCTTGGAGGGTTAGGTGGTATGGAATGTGTGGGGGCAAGGAATTCATCTGAAAGGGCTCAAATGCCAGGCTGAGAGCTTGTTCTCCCGCTTTAAAAGGGGAGGCATTTTCAGAGCTAACCCTTACAAAGACGGAGCTACATGAAAGCAGCTAGCACCCGAGAGTTTGGAGGGTGGGTGACCACGGAGGACACTGTAATGATATAGTGGAAGACCCTGAAGAAGATCCTGTACTCTTGTTACAGGACTCCTGGTGAGCCTCCTTTCTCACCCAAGTCCAGGCCTGGGCAACTCTCTTACGAATTGAACTGGAGGCTAGGCACTCTCCAGGCGGCTGTATCCATATAAGTTGGAGGGAGGCCCAGTGCCTAGGCCTCTCTTCTGCAATGACAGTGACAAGACACCAAAATGGAGGATTGAGTTGGGCCCAGCAAAATCTAGGATGCTGCTCTCTGCATCAGAGAATCCTACTACTCATTCTGTAGCAAGACTAAAGTAGACCTCAGGGTCTGATTGGCAGGCCCACTGAAGGAAGGGCTGGGATGTAGTGCAGTTGGTGGAATGATCACCTAGAATACAAGAAGCCCTTGGTTTGGTTGCCAGCACTAAATAAAACAATACATGTCTACAAGCCCAGCACTCAAGAGGTAGAGGCAGGAGGATTAGAAGTAAAACTCATTCTACAGATTGAGTTCAAGGCCAGTCTAGCATACATAAGACCCTGTCTTAAAGGTGTGTGTGGGGGGCACTATGGTAGCTCTTCACAAGACAAGGCCTTTCTCTTCTGAATATCCACTGCACCTGGTCACCCATTTCCAAAATATTTCCTAACACTTGCTATGTGCCCCATCTGAGCTGGGTGATAGGGACAAGGTAAGGAGGCAGAGATGGCCTGGCTTCTTTAGAGATTAAGGCGGTCCCTCAGCCAGGTTCTTCCTATTTAGCCCCACTGGTAGCTTAGGAACCCAAGGGCAACTCATGGGGAGAGTATGGGTTAAAGAGTGCACAGGCCCGGGGAAGGGCCTAAGGGAAAAGATAGATGCCATCGAGGGCATTTCTTACTCAGCAAGATCTTCCAGGCCCTATGAGCAGACTAGGGATAGGGATGATTAGCCTAGAAACAGCTGGGTAATTAGGCCACAAGAAAGCACAGAAACAAGTGGCATATCCTCATCCTGAAGCGTTGGTCCTGGATGGGGAGGCCTTGGCTGAGGCAGGTAGGCAGGAATCCCAGGCTTATCTGACTTTGTGACCTTGGACAAGGTATTCTCTATTTTCTCATATACAAAATAAAGGTAATAATTCCTTTCTTATGGAGCCTTTAGGAGGATAAAATGAGGAATTTTTGTAAACAGTAACAAGTAACAATTCAACAACATTCAGATAAGTAGCATAAGCACTTGTAAATAAAAGGAAAGAAAGCAAAATTACAGGCTCAAAATTAAAGATCTCCTGGTGTCACCCATGAGGCCTTGGTGATGTCCTCACACTTTCAGCTGGCTCATGGGAGTGGGGACATGAGGGGTACCAGAAAAACCACAACCTCACTCTGCATGCTAGGCAGCCATTTCTGAGGATTGCGCAGTATGCCAACCTTCTCATCCCCTCAAAACCCAGGGAAATCGGAAGCATGGGGAAGAGTGGCAGGCCTCTGCGGCAGGGCTTGCCCCATCCCTCACGCAGGATGGTACTGGCACTGGCCATCCTTTTAGAGGCTGGCTATTCACAGAATCTCCTTCCTCCCACTCCCACCCACAGATAACTTTCACTTCCCTGGGGCTCCAACCTGATCCTCAAAAGCCATTATGCCAAACTTGATCCAAACAAGGCTGCTGACCCAGGAACTCTGGGGATGTCTTTCTGAGAACAGCAGTCACCTAGCCCTATAAATCCCCAAACTGGAAAAGCTAGTTCCCAGAAAAATCTGCACTTGGGTCTAGCTCCTGGAGATTCTCTCTCTCTCTCTCTCTCTCTCTCTCTCTCTCTCTCTCTCTCTCTCTCTCTCTCTCTCTCTCTCTCTCTCTCATACACACACACACACACACACACACACACACACACACACACACACACGAGATGGGCACTGTCTTCTGTCTGATCCTTCCTACAGCACCACCTGCCAGAGTAAAAGTTTCCAGACAATTAAAGTCTTAACTGTCCTTACAAGAAACTGCACCACCACCAACCCTCCAGAGCCTTCCCTATCTCACCTACCCGCACCTCCCGCCCCGCAGTGGGACACCCAGAGTGACTCTGGAGAGAGAGGAAGGAATGCAGGAACTCTCAGGACTCTCTGTCCACAGACGTATGCCACAGGGATACACAGACTAATTCAAGTTCAGATACCCACACCCCGGGATCTGTGCATTCGCCCACTAACACACAGATTTCCGCAGTATGCCGGTAAACACACCAGAGCGTCACTCACCAAGATCCACGTTCCAGAGGAGACAAAGTTCAACAGCACACCAGCAGCCACCCTCACCGTCCAGTTTTGCTCACCACTAGGGCTGGGAGCCGGGGCTGGCAGGACAGAGTCACGTAATGGGCTCTCCTGCCGGCACTGAGTCGACTGCAGGACCAGTTACGAGGCCGCACCCTGCGGCGACCTCTCCTGGCGTCCGTTCCCCTTTAGGGTGCCCCCCTCACATACTCCATGTGCTGGTCCCTTCCAGGAACCACAGCAGCGGTTCCCGGTCCCCTAGTTCCATGCCCAGCCACGCAGGGTCCCACGTGCCAGAAAGAGCGGCGGTCCCCGCCCCACCCCGCCTGACTCTGTACCCCATAGCCCGGCGGTAAGCAGAAGGGCGGGGCAGACGCTGGGCAGACGCTGGAGCCGACAGATGCCTCCAGTTTGTCACCGGCTTGGGGACGTGGCCTGGCTGTACTGAGGCGGGGTCAGAGTGTCCGAAACGGGTGTTGAGCAGGGAGGGGAGGGAGGTGACCATCCAGGCTGGGCAGAGGCCACCTGCCTCACTACCGTATCAGAGGGCAGGTTTGCTTGTGGTGATTGACCTCTGTGCTAACCTGCAGGCTCCCCTTCGCTGCTGCCCTAGCCCATCTCATTTCATGATGAACTTGCTCCAGAACTGATCCGGAAGGGTCTTCACCCCTTTCTCCACCTCTGTCTGCTTTCGCTCTCACTTCACCTCGCCAGCAGGTCCCTGAGGTCCCTGTTCAGGTTGCTCTCTCATTTTGAACTGCCTTAATTCTTCTCTCTGTCCTGCTCTGAAGTTCTTCTGTAAGTCACGAGCCTTATTTATGCCTCTGCCCTAGCTGGAGCGCAAAAGGGCAAGGACACGAACCCATCTCTCAACTGCTGGCCTGTAAATGGATGGATGCACGAGGGTCTACACCCCAGGCATCTGATGTGTAAGTTCTAGGCCAGCTTTAGTACTGAGAGACCTTGATCTAGCTCCAGTCCCACGCAGGGACTCATTTTCTGTGAAACAGAGCCATCAGTTTTCACAATCTTCCTTCCACTGTCCATCCTGGGAGTCTGCAGATGGCCCGATGGATGGTCAAGTTTAGAACAGGCATTTTTCTGTGGTCAGGGAGCTTGCTCTCTGCTCTAGGGCTGTAGGCCTTGTTAACTGTACATCAGCTGACCAGAGCCCTGCTTCCAGCTCCAGGAGGGGCCCAGAAAGGGTGCTGGCTGCACCCTTGTCCAGAGTGAGAAGGGTGGACACAGAGCTGTGTGACTGAGCCTCTCTAAGGCCTCCTGGGGCCTCCACTTAGGAGACAGGAAGGCACCTTGTCTAACCTCTCTGGGAGAGCTGGTGCAGACCGCTTCCAGAGACTGAGATATCTTTACAGCCACACTTGTGGCTTTAGGGTCCTAGTGTTAGGGAAGCATTTTGATTATTGGAGCCCCAGCTGATTTGTTTTTCTGGTCTTCCTTTCATCCATCAGGCCTTCCCTGTTACTGCTGCTTTCCCAGGGACCCAGAATTGAGCCTGGCTGTGGAGCCAATGGCCAGTCTTGGACTTTGCGTTTCCTCTCCTCCAACTCCTTCAATTTAGAGCCAAAAAGCCCAACATTCCTGAGGTACATGACATCTGAGCTTTCATGTCAGGTGACTTAGTAATGCCAGAGGGACAGATGAAATGTTCAGCCTTTTATTCAGACTCAAGTCTTTACTCACCTTTTCTGTGATTACTTTCTGAGCCCCAGTCTCTCCCTTTCTCTGTTGTTTTCTATTTTGTTTTTTTTTTATTTGTTTTGTTTTTGTTTAGCTAGGTTCTCTCTACACAGGCCAGGCTGGCCTCAAAATCACAGCAGTCTTCCTGTCTCAACCTCTTGGATGCTGCCATTGTAGGCTACCATGCCTGGTTCTCCGTCTGCTTTTTCTGCACAATGTGTTGAATGGTCCTTATTTGCTGTTCTGTCAATGTCTTTATTTAGAGTCTTGCCCATCATCCTGAGCTTCCAGGTCAGAGGAGTGACTATCCCCTCTCAGAGCCTGGGAGGAGAGGTTCCCTGACACTTCCTCCATCAGATTTTGTGGCTCACCAAACCCAGCAGGTTTCCCATCTCCCAGCACTGTTCTGTTCTCCTTACCATCTCACTGTGACTCGAGCACCTTTGTTTTCATAGTTTTACTTACTTTTCAACGGAAAGAATTAGAACCTATATTGATCCAGTCAGGAAATTGAAGCCCAGTGAGTCACAATAAGTACCATATGGAGGATAGAATAGCATCCAGGGCGTCTCCCTGAACCTCTCAGCCAAAGCAGGTTAATGGTAAAGCCTAGAAACTGTAATGGTCCCTGTGAGGTGTAATTAAGTCACAGGGGCAACTGCATTAGCAGCAGCAGTTCTGGAGGGGCCTGGAAAAGCCCCTACCCCGGCTCCCCCCAGCCCACCTCACATTAGAAGGCTTCCTGTCTGTCCAGCTCTGAGCAAGCATTTGTCTCCTGGCAGGCATCCTCGTCTTCTCTCTCTAACTTCTCTCATCTCCCCTGAGAAAACCCTCTGCTCTGAGAATCCACAATGGGGGGGGGGGCTGTGCGTGGTTTAACTTCCAGCCCTCTGTGCTCTGTCTTTGCTAGAATGGTGCTTCTGTGTCCCCTCACTGGCCCTTCCTGCTTCCCACTGTCTTGGTGGCTTCCACTGCCTTCAAGGCAGCCCAGCTCCCCAGCCTCCATCCCAGGTCTTTTCTCTCTCTGCCTCCTAAAGTCCTGAGCCCTCGCTCACCTCCCAAACATTGATCTTTTTTTTTTAGTTTTCAGAGACAGTTTTTCTGTGTAGCCCTGGCTGTCCTGGAACTTGCTCTGTAGACCAGGCTGGCCTCTAACTCACAAAGATCCACCCGCCTCTGCCTCCAGAGTGCTGGGATTACAGTTGTGCGTGGCCCAATCATTGATCTTTTAAAGACCTGCTCCAGATATGGTACCTCTCAGCACACTCACTAAGCCCTGCCCCCTACCATGGGGATCTCTTTGAAGGTAGATGTCCCTGTCACATGATAAGGCTCCAGAAGGACTCTATAGCTCGTCTTCTTTGTGCTGGCTACTGTGTTAAGGTATTTTGATCCTCACCAGGACCCAGTGAGTCAGACACTATCATTCGCATAGCACATTTAGGGAAACCAAAGCTCATACAGTAAGTATGTTGTGGGTCTAACCCTGGAACTGTACGTACTGGGGGAAAGCTCTGAAGAGAGTTCTTAGATCATGGCTGGGATCTGATGTTGGGGCCTACCCTGGCAGCTCCCCTATGCAGAGCTGGGCTATCCAGCTTGTCTTCCTGGCTCCTGAGATGGTTGCATGAACATCAAGGAGCCTTTCTCCCACCCTTATTCTTTCTCTCCCACCCCTGCCCCCCAACTCCTTAGGGACTGTGCTCCTCAAGTTTCCCTGACCAGGGCCAGGCTTTGAAAGGCAAATAGATCTTGGGAGCTTTTGCTGTTGGCTCTTGTCAGGAGTCAGGCATTCCAGAGAGGCCGCCCTGAGAAGCAGGAAGCCTTGGCAAAGGCCCCTTCCACCTCCCCTAAAGCAAGATCAGCTACCTAATTTGTAAGACCCTGTACAAAATGAAAATGTGGGCCCCACGTTAAAAAAGAATTATTAAAATTTTAAGATGGTGGCAGAAGTATTAAGTCCTGGACCAGACATAGTGGCACATACCTTTAATATGGAGGCAGAAGCAGGTAGAGCTCTGTGAGTTCAAGGCCAGCCTGGTTTAGACAGTGAGTTCCAGAGCAGCCAGGGCTAAATAATAGAGAGACCCTCTCTCAAAATAAACAGGCACTAATGGTACAACTCTTACACCTAGGAAGCCAGCCCTGCCCTCAGGCTTTTTTTTTTTTTTTTTTTTTTTTTTTGTCATCTGTCAAATGGGCTAGTGGCAAGGGAGGAGACATGAGTAGGAGGTTAGGAGGTTCAGTGAACAGCATGAGGACTGAACAGGGGTCTTCATAGACATCACCTTTTTAATGTATGTGTACAGGTACATGTGGAGGGATGTACACATGTGTATGCATGCACATGGAGGACTAAGAATACCCCAGGTGTCATCCTCGGGCTCTCACACTGACCTGGAGCTCACCAGTTAGATTGCATTGGCCAGCCATGAGCCCAACAGAGCTTCCTAACTGCGCCTGGCCAGCCCTGATATCACAAGCATGTGTCACCATGCCCAGCATGTTCACATGGATTCAGGGAATCAAATTCAGGTCCTCATGCCTGCAAAGCCAACACTGTATGACCTGAACCCTCTCCACCCTACACACAACCTAACCTATGGACACAGGTCATTTTGGTGGATGAATTCTCGACAAGAATTTGATTATTTTTAAAGATTTATTTCATTGTATGTGTGTATTCGCGTGGCGGGGAGTTTTTTGACTCCACATATGTGTGTATACTACATGTGTGTCTGGTGGATGTCAGGAGACAGCATCAGGGCCCCTGGCACTTGGTTAGATTGTTGTAAGCTTCCATGTGGGTTCTAGGAAGCAAACCTGGGTCTCCTGAAAGAGTATCAGTACTTTTAATACTGGGCCTCTTGATTCTTTTATTTTTTTTTTTTTTAAAAAAAATCTCTTATTTGTGTGTGTGTGTGTGTGTGCGCACACACACTCTCGCACGTATGACACATGCACTAAAGTACAGTAACTTCAGAGGCCGGAAGAAGGTATCAGATGTCCTAGAGCTGGCATTATAGATGGTTGTGAAACCTGACGGGGATCCTGGAAGCCAAACTCAGGTCCTCTGGAAAAGCAGCAAGCATTTACAACCACTGAGCCATTTCTCCAGACCAAACAATTTTATTCTCCTTTTTGAGTACTCAACCTGTGTTTTTTAAAAAAAAAAAAAAAGCAAGTCACTTTTATCAGTGTTATACAGAGACTCAGTGTGGGAAGCCACAATCAGAGAGACGGAGGGGAGACGGGATTGACAGAGAGACAAGCAGAGATGGAGGAGGTTGCTCAAGACAAAGAGAGCCATTGTGCAGACACCAAGACTGGGCCATGGAGGCCTTACGGGGGCTGGGCTGAAATCATGGATGAAGCATAGTGAAGCTGTACATGGCAACCAGGGAGCTGCCAGGAGCTAGCTACCTGGGATGGGGTGAAGGGTGGCATTCAGGAGCCAGAAAGTAATCAGTAATGGGAATGAGATCTGGGGCTGGGCCCCTAACACTCTGTCCCAGGCCCCCAGACTCAGTCTTCTAGCGTGGACTGCTCCAGCTCCTCTCTGGCAATGTGCCCCATGCTACTCACTCTGTGGTCTCCTATCTCATTTAGGGCAGTGCCTACCT